AAGCAATGTCAGGTCGAGTTATAGTCAAATAGATAAGTTTTCCGACCAACCTTTGATACTCCGATACATTTTCAAGCTGGATGCCTGAGGTTTCATGCTTGAAATTTGTTGGTAGAGGTGTTTTAGCAGGTTTGCAATGCATCATATTGGCTTCTTCTAAAAGATCGAGAACGTACTTTTGTTGATTTAGAAACAACCCCGTTGGAGATTGATCCATTTCGATTCCGAGAAAGTATCTAAGTCTGCCGAGATCTTTGATTAAGAATGTTGAATGTAAGGTGGCTTTGAGAGCATTGATTTCTTCTGGATTATCTCCTGTGACAATGAGATCATCAACATAAACAAGTACCACCAATCTTCCATGTGTGCCAAGCCTAGTGAACATTGAAGAATCTGCATTGCTTCGTTTAAAAACCGGATGACATAAGGACAGAGCTTAGTTTTGAGTACCAAGCCCTTGGAGATTGCTTGAGACCGTAAATGGCCTTGTGAAGCTTGCATACTACTCCTTGTTCCTTCTCTCGTTCATGACCAGGTGGTAGGCGCATGTACACTTCTTCTTCCAACTCTCCATGAAGAAAAGCGTTTTTTACATCCATTTGATGTAGAGACCATTGTGAATTGATAGCCACCGAAAGAAGAACTCTAACTGTGTTCATCTTTGCCACCGGGGCAAAGGTTTCTTTGTAATCTACCCCGTAGGTTTGCGTGAAGCCCCTTGCAACTAACCTTGCCTTGTGCCGCTGGATGGTTCCATCTGAGTTAAATTTTGTCTTGTAAATCCATCTTGCCCCAACCACACGTTGATCTTTTGGCAGAGAAACAATGCTCCAAGTTTTAGTTTCTTCGAGTGCCTTCAGTTCCTCAAGCATAGCACATCTCCATATAGGAGATTGGTTTGCCTCTTCGAAGGATCGAGGCTCCGAGTGTTGAGATAACTTAGTGACAAATGCTGCATGAGATGGAGAGGTCTTGCTATGGTAAACCATTTGTCCAATAGGATATCTAGGCATGTAGATTTCAAAATCATCAAGCCTGGCTGGAGGTTGTCTGTTTCGAGAAGGATTCCTTCGTGGAGGAGTAGGTTGTTCAAGGGGCTCTCTCCTTTCGTGGAGGACTTCTTCATTATTTGCTTCCATATTTTCATGAGCTGGCTCTATCTCAATTGCTTCATTGTGCAGTGTTGACAGTCTTGGATCATCAAGGACGAGAGGAGTGGGAAACACTTCATATGAGAGCTCCCCCTGAGGTTCATCATCATGCTTCTGAAAGAAGAAGTGTGTCTCATCAAACCGTACATCCCTGGATACAAACACCTTTCTGGTTTTAGAATCATAGCATTTGTATCCCTTTTGGGAAGTTGAGTAGCCTACGAATGCACACTTGATAGCCCTTGGATCAAGTTTATCTCGGTGAATAGTTTGAATATGCACATAGCACACACATCCAAACACACGGAGATGACTTATGTCAATATCTCTCCCCTTGAGAATTTGACAAGGAGATTTAAACTTCAAGATTCTGCTAGGAAGTCGATTTATGATGTATGCAGCGGTTTGTATAGCTTGGGACCAGAACTTCTTTGGAAGGTTTGCTTGTAACATTAGTGATCGTGTTTTCTCAAGCAAATCTCGGTTCTTCCTTTCTGAAATGCCATTTTGTTGTGGTGTTCCTACACAACTAGTTTGTTGCAAGATTCCATGCTCACTTAAGTAAGTTGTCATGATTTTGGAAGTATACTCAGAGCCATTATCAGACCTTAAGATGCCAATATTAGAGTTAAAATGATTTTGAACTAAGTTATGAAAATTTTTGAAACACTGGAAAGCTTCGTGCTTGAATTTAAGTAAATACACAAAGGTAGTTCTAGAGAAATCATCAATGAAAGAGATGAAGAATCTGTAGCCATCAAAAGACTCTAAGGTTGCAGGTCCCCAAATGTCGGAATGAACAATTTCAAACACTTTGGTAGCTCTAGAGAGAGAATGGGGAAAGGGTAACCTGGTGGACTTAGATTTTTGACAAACTTCACAATCTGAAATCTCTTTACAGAAACTAGGAAAAATAAAAGACATAACATGGGAAGAAGGATGAGCTAATCTCATGTGCCACAGCTGCTCCTTGTTTACTGTGTTTGAGTTTACGTAGAAACCTTTTGGAAAACTTGAAGAGAGATTGACATAGTACAGTCCATTGAGGAAGAAACCTTTACCAATCGTTTCCTTCGAAACTCGGTCCTGGAAAATCACACAGTGAGTGGAAAAAATTGCAAGACAATTTAGCAATTGTGTTATTCTTCCTACTGACAGCAACTTGAAAGGAAAGGAAGGGACATGCATGACAAGGGATTCCTTTTTACTTGAGAAGATTTTGAGTTTTCCTATGCCTACTATACTAACTTTGGTGCCATTAGCTACGGAGACAAAAGAAGGAGTGGAGAAGTTTTGAAAATCATTTAGTAAAGATGCATCGTTAGTCATGTGATCAGAAGCTCCTGAGTCGACTATCCAAAAACCACGGCTACTACTAAGATCCAATGCAGTGGAAATAGTTGCAACAATACCTGGCACATCATTTTGTGACACTGAGCTTGATTGTTCGAGGAAACCAGCAAACTTGCCGAGCATGGCTGCAGGATTTTCATGATTTGTTGTCCCTTGTTTCTGTTGCAGGAAGTTAGCAAATTCATTTATGAGAGTAATGGGACTAGAAGAAGAGTTCATCACATTTTTTGAGACATTGTCGCAAACAAGGTTTCCTTGAGGAGTGTAGGCAGGCTTCATTTGGTTTCTTGGTGCTCTTCCATCATCATTGAACTTGGGTTTAAGTTCTGGATGAAGAATCCAGCACTTTTCTTTTATGTGTCCAATGCCTGGACGACCTATTTTCACACAGTGAGAACACTTTAAGTCTGGTCGTTTTCCCTTGTATGGTCTGAAAGAGGTGAAGGCTCTTGCTTCTGATGGCCTAAGATCTGATTCTCCAACGACAACGACTGCATTCATGACCTTCTTCCTTATTTCTTCGCGTTGAATAACGTTGCAGACCATCTGGAAGGTGGGAAGTTCAGGTGTCATCAGGAGATGACTTTTAAGGTCCTCATATTCTGGTCCGATGCTGGCAAGCAACTGGAACACTTTTGTCTTCTTCAGCACGCTTTAAAAGAATGGTTGTGTCCGTGGTATGAGGTCTGTAGAGATCCAATTCATTCCATTTGGCCTTCAAGTTGCCAAGATGTTGAACAAAAGAGAGATTTCCCTGTTGTAATTCTGTAAGATCTTTCTTCAGCTGGAAGACTCGCGCAGCATTGTTTAGATCTCCATACATGTCTCGTACAGAAATCCAAAGGTGGTGAGATGATACTGAATAACTGAAAATCTCAGCCATCTTTGGTTCCATAGAAATTCAACAGCCAAGACATGATAAGTTGATCTTGGGACACCCATGCTGCATAATCTTGTGAAGTTGTTTCGGGCATGATATCATCCTTTTGAATGAACTGGAGCTTTCCACGTCCTCCAAGAGCGAGAGAAATAGCTCGTGACCAAGGCAGATAGTTGAATTCGTTTAGGAGCACTGAGCTCAAACGTTGAATTGGGTTGGTATCCATAGTTTCGTTTTTTGAAACTTTCTCTGATGATGTTGCCATAATGGCTTTAACTGGTTTGAATTTGGTAGGATTTCGGAAGAACACAGATGCAGGTCCTTGAGGGATCACTGCTCTGATACCATATAGAAAACCTTAATGTATATTTCATTTTTATCAAAACAGTTTACAAGATTAAGCATAAATAGAAGAATAATCGGGAAAGAGAGAGGAGAGGGGGACAATGGCAGCTAAGCAAGTCAGCTAAGCAAGCATGAGAGTATGATGACCTCCACATTCTCTAACACATGTTTTACAGCTTATTAACAAGCTTTACACAGAAGAGGGAATAACACAGCTCACTAAACCCTAGCTAAACACAGCTTTACAGCTATTAGGGTTTAAAGAATATTCAATAATATTCAATACAAACAGCTGCTACTGCATAAACAATATGGCAACTATAGATTGTTTTTCCTATAGTTTTAGAATGGTACTTAGTTAAGCAGTTCGACTCCTTTCAGCTTATGCTCGGGATTTTATTTTCTTTCGTTTTGCGGCTGTGTGTTATGGCTATTATCCATTACATAGTTTTTGAGATTGTTACGTTAGATAATAAGATACTTATGTTGTTAACTTGTTAGATTATGAACATAAATTCATAGATTTTTGAAAGGTCTAAAACGAAAGTGGAAGATCCATCCTAAAATAGTACTCTCAGTGAGGAGAATTTGTGAAGTACAAAGAGAAGATGAGGTGCAATATTTGGCATAAAATCTCTATAGAGAGAAACAACTGTTGTGCCTTGGCCCGTTTATCAGTGTGGAAACGAGATTCAGATTACAACCTCACCAAATCACACTCAGTTGAACAGAATAAAATACAAGAAATAAAGACACCGAGAAATTTACGAGGTTCGGCAAAAAACTGCATACGTCCTCCGAGAGATGTTGCTCTTCACTATGAGAATAATTAGTACAAGATACAGTTGAGTTAAATCGACATAACCCAAACCCTAATCCCTTTGTACCCTCACAGAATTTTACTAAGAGACTCACTCTCCCCAAGAGTTTCTCACTCTCACTCTATATTTTTCTACCACACGTTCTCATCTGAATGCACTCTCAATATAAGGTCACTCACACTCATATTTTATTCCCAACATCATGATGTCTTGAATAATCATTAAAGAAAAAGCACCACATTTTCTCTTTTCTTACAATGATGATGTCTTTACTCATGATGATGTCCACCAAACTTTTGCTTTTACTTTGTCTGCAACTTTCATGCAACCCACACCATGTGATATTTCCACCGAAAGCAAACATAGGTCACTTCATTGTTGTTAACACATGACTCATAATTACTCACAAATGTATGAGCCAAACACAACAACAACATCGTGCTTCTTTTGTCATGCAGCATTGCCATTGAGGAGCATCTGATCAAAGTGCCGAACACCTGCAAATTAACAAAACAATAAGCCACTTGGAGTTCATTGCAAAATTTGTTCATATGTCGTAAAATTTTCTCAATATCTGCTGTTAATCGATCAGCCATTACCATGTCCAGTGACGATCCTTCTCAATTGAGCTACATACTTGGACATTTTATATATGGCTTCCACCTAAATTACCCGAATTCAGTTCTTCGATCTTCGTCAAAATCTTGCCAAGAATAATGAGAAAAGAAAACGAAAGATATCGTATGGAAGTTGCATACCTGCTCAGTCAAATAGTTACTCTCCACAAAATCCACCAGTTGCACATCATTGTTTTCGTTTGCTATCTGTAATATTATTTAACAGTTTCACATAGTCTTAATTTGAATTGATCGACAGATAAAGCAGCTAATTTGGAAAAAAAAAATGTACTTTAAAGTTTAAACAAAAGAATAATGGAGTTTAAAGTAAAATGAAATAGCAAAGTTATTTACTGTGTAAATTTAGAAGCTTCTCATTGTTCAGCTTTTCCAAGGCCAGTGCAAGCTCTATTGCTGGGTAAAACAAGGGAAGACATGCTAAGAAGTGATAAAGGGAAGTGATTTCCGAACTCCCCTTTTTTTCGTGCTCATTCTTGTTTTCTTCCTAGCAGTTGGATTGAATAAAATAAAGTAAAATTACGGACGGAAACAAGAGGAGTACTTAAAGAGAAAATGAGAGAGTGAAACATTACTAAACTTGAAAAGAACTTACCACACAATGCATCACCCTTTTTGACATGACCAAACTCGGAGACGGGCATTCGCATGGACTGTAGCTTAACTTTCCCTCCGCGTTTGTTCTGATCCTCATCGGAATACAGACTTAGAGATCGATATACAGAACCAATGGAAACAGAAGAAAATGATATTGGATTCTCAAATGGAGAAAGTATGAAATTTATAGCAGAAAACCTGGTATTCCATAAGTTTTTCAGCATGCTGCCTTTCTACTTCACTTGATTCTTTGAAAAATCTGCATGTTTTCGTGAACTTAAACAACGAATAGATCCGAAAATATCATCAGATTTCGGGAAAAAAATTCAGGTTTAGAAAGACTAATTACTTGGCAAGTCCCTTGAGAGCAACATTGTCTCTGTCAAAGTAGGCATACATGGAGTGGTACACATAGGAGACATTGTATTCCACAGTAATTCAGAGAACAAAATTTTGGTATGAAACTGGTCAGAACTTTGCATACATAGTTGGATCTACTAACCAAAATCAAACTAAAACAAAAGTAGAATTGATATAAATTTTATATATGAGAAAGACTGAAAATGATATATGCACAAATCGAACCGATCAGAAATTCTTAGTCAAACATAAAATAGGTGACATTAAATGGACAATAAATAAGGGCTCTAATTGTGGCTTATTTTATGTACGGTTATTGTGTGTTTAGTGTTCTCTAGTTCTATTGTGACTTAAAAAATTTCACCGTTACGCAAACATGGGCTAGACCGATTAGTTAGGGTAGTGTACCGCTTCACAGATGCACCTAAGTTTGAATCATTCTCTTCTAAATTATTGTAGTTAATAACTAGTTCTATTTGTGCATATTTTGTCATTCGAAAAACCTCAATCTTTTGTGAAAACAAAGGGGTTTGATTATAGTCAAGAAACCAACATTTCTAATGAACATTAAGATTGAAAAAAAGACTAAAAAAATGGAAGAATTTTGAAAACACACTTGATCTGTTCATTGATGGCAGCTTCTGATTTGTCAGAATATTTTTGGCGAGCAAGAGAAGCATGAGGGATAGTGGGGACTAGAAGGAGCTCTTTCTTGACCTCCTCCAGTGGATCAAACACCACCTCCAATGTGGGTCTATTATCAGCCTCTTTTTTTGCAAATATTACCAACCGACCTGAACCATGCACATGTCAGCCTGAGACCGCTAAAAGGCTCGGCCTGTTCGTGATTGTTGGTGAAGAAGAAAGGCTTGATGGTAAAGGCATTGTGTAGAAATTGAGAGAGAGAGAGAGAGAGAGAGAGAGAGATTGTGTACTTAACCTAATACTCTGCAGTGCAAATAGATACGTTGTCAATCTTGTTTTTTCAAAAGATGAGAATGATAACCTTTTCCTCCTGATTTTAAAATATACCTTGTTTCGAACGTCAAGAATATCCTTTGTGTAACAATATTTTCATTTTAAAATCAATTTTGGATATGTAAACATATTACAAGCACCTCAAAAATTTTAAATAGAAATGATGTGTGCTTTTACGGAAGCAGGTCATCAAGTGTTTTTTAAACATGATAAAAAAACGTTTTGAGTTATCTAAAAGCCTTTTTAATTATTTTGAATATACTTCCAAGATGGCTCTTAGAATAGTTCTACGCATTATAATTTGTTCTTGAATATCATTTTTTTTCGGTTGAATTTTGGGATGCGTATACTTTCAATTTTCAGTTTTTGCCCTTTCCTTGAAGGGTAAGAAGTTTTAGAGACTAAGGCTTATATACTGTCATTGTGACATTTAGTGCCATGCAAATTGCCCTCACCCTGGAGGGTCAAGAAACTCCTCACAAAGTTACAATAATATAGTACTACGGTTTAATGGTATTCCTCTTCACTTGAAAGTGAGAAGTCATAAGTTCAATTCTCGCCAAATGCGAGTTGGAACCACGTTATTACTAGCCCATTGGGAGGCTAAATCCACCCCCTCCCCTTGTAGATAATATTGTTTGTTTAAAAAAAAAAATTTGTTTAATAGCTTAGAAGATTTTGAAAAACTAGTGTAATTAAAAATAGAGTGTTTCTCATAATAAAAGTAGTGAAACTCACATAGAAGAAATCAGGCTTGCAACCTACTAAAGTCTGTGTTACTAAAAAAATTGGGGGGACAAAAGAATGGCAATACGTAATCTGCAGGGGTGGGCCGGTATGGCTGCGAGTAATGTACTCCGGGAGTCGGTATGGCACCAAAACCGGCACCGGAATAAGCACCAATTTCACGGTTGTCGGTAGCCATACCAAACTGCCCATGGTGCTGCCAAGATGACGGCGGCCTTGGCTGCGGAAAGCCTGGGTTAAAATTTTGCACTGGATAGGGTGGAACGGCTGATTCGGATGTCCGAGGATACTTATTTTCGCGCTGTTGTTGCTGTTGAAACCCCGGGTCATAAGTAGGGGTGCTTCGTTTCTGACCTCTACCATCCCAATTGATGCTGGGTTGATTACTTGCAAAAGAAGGAACAACGACATTGTTGGCAGGGATACAATCTAATTTCTGCATCTTCACTTGAGAATGAGGAATACTGTAATTCTCCTTTGATTGCAGGTTTTTGATGTGTTCCTCAGTAGATTTTTTGTTCGAATCAAACTCTTTCCGCTTCAATTCAAGCTCTTTGGCTTGAAATTCAAGTTGCCTCTCTTTTGATTTCAGCTTTTGAGCTTGTTCTTCAAGCGATTTTTTCATCAAATTAAATTCTTTCTGCTTCGATTTAAGATCTCTGGCCTTGTCTTCAATCTGGCTCTCTTTCGATTTCAGATTTTTGGTGTCTTCGTCAACCTTGGATAGTGCTACACGTCTCCGATTCTCTTTTAGATTTTCCAGTGAAGCTATTCGCAATTCGATACACCTGGAAGGGTACATGGCCTCTAGGTCGCAATCTTTGATGCATTCAATCACTGCTCTAAGATCAGCTATCTGGTCATTGATAACCTTATCCTTTTCGTCGAGTGATTTCTTTCTCTTGCCAACTTTCCTGCAAAACCTCTTCGTATTCTCCACAAATTCTTCCAATAGCAGTACTGGGGGGAACTTGTCAGTTAACTCGAACATACAAATCCATCTAACAGCTTCAATGAATAGCTTCTCTTCGATAAGCCTTTGAATCAAATCAGGGATAAGACTTTGAAGCTCCTTTGTATCATAAGCAGAGGTGATTTCGTATGCAGTAATGAGCCTCATAAAACCCAAAACCTCCAAGCAATTCTCTGCCCCCTTTGCCGCTCTCGCCTTCCACTCACCAGCCAACTTAATTGCTTCTTCTCTCACCTGAGGGCTAATATGTGGTGAGATGCTCTTCAAATTCTCTAACAAATGAATACAACTCCTCCTAATCACAGTCAAATCACAACCAGACTCGCAGTTGTCCACATTCGATTTTGAAGGGTAAAACCCTTGCAATGCATCCAAAACAAATTGTGCTGGGTCCGATGACGCATGAAGAATGGCTGAGATGTCACTACCCACTAAATCGTATCTCTTCAAATGATCATTCAACTGCAATCCTCTAACATCCCTATCGATGCTCCATTGATTACTTGCAGAAGAAGGAACAATGGCATTGTTGACAGAGAGATGTTCCAATTGTTCAATCTTCACTTGACAATGAAGAACGCCAGTGTTCTCTTTCGAGTTCAGGTTTTCCAGGTGTTCTTCGGTGGATTTTTTGATCGAATCAAATTCTTTCCGCTTCAATCCAAGCTCGTTGGCCTGCTCTTCAAGTTGCCTCTCTTTCAATTTCAGATTTAGGGCCTGTTCTTCAATGGATTTTTCGATCGTCTCAATTTTTTGCTGCTTCAATTTAAGCTCTTTGGACTGCTCTTCAAGTTGTCTCTCTTTCGATTCCAGATTTTCAGTGTTTTCTTTTCTAATCCAATCAAATTCTTTCTGCTTCAATTCAAGCTCTTTGATCTGGCCTTCAAGTTGCCTCTCTTTCGATTTCAGTTTCTGGTTATATTCTTCGGTGGATTTTCTGATCGAATAAAATTTGTTTTGCTTCAACTCAAGCTCTTTGGCCTGATCTTCAAGTCGCCTCTCTTTCGATTTCAGGTATTGAGTGCGCTCTTCAGTGGATTTTTTGATCGAATCCAATTCCTTCTGCTTCAATTCAAGCTCTTTGGCCTGGTTTTCAAGTCGCCTCTCCTCCAATTTCAGGTTTTGGGTATGTTCTTCAGTTGATCTTTTGATCGAAATCAATTCTCTTCGCTTCAATTCAATCTCTCTGTCCTGGTATCGAAGTTTGTTCTCTTTCGCTTGAAGTCCCCGAGAGAGTGTATCCAAATGCTTTTCGCCTTCTTTTCTTGATTCTTTGACCTGTTTTTCTTTCAATTCAATCTCCTTCTCTTTCAATTCAAGCTTACATGACCACTCCACCATTGACTTCCGGCGCAAGCAGATATCTTGCTCCTCCAAACAAAGTTTCTCCGCTTTCACCTTCAACTCCTTGTCACATTCTTGAATCGCCATTTTCTCCGATTTCAATGCCTCTTCTCTCAAATCGAACTCCGCCTTACGGGCCTCCATCGACCCTAGATCCATTCTCAACTCCCTCTCTTTTAACGCCATGTCCTCCACACTTCTCTCGACCGAATTCAATTTTTTCGTCCTTTGTTCGACGCGCCTCTCGATCAAATTGAACTCCCTCTCCTTCTCCCTCACAAAACCCCCAACCTCCACCAATCTCTTCTCTTGAACAATCACCGCTTTGCTGTGTTCTCGAATCAAGGACTGAAGCGAAAGCAAGTGGTTCTTTTTTTCGTCGACCAATTTCTGAAGTACCTGCAAACTGTTGGATTTCGACTCCATCTCCGAGCTGACCTTCGACTCTTGGATTTCCAACTGCTCGGTTTTGGCTCGGACTTCCTCCTCGCGGTGCTTGAGTTCCCCGAGTCGGGCCTCGATGGAGAGACGCGTGGACTCGAATTGGTCTTCGAGGTCCTTCCACTGTACGGAAAACACAGCGAGGGAGGTTGCATGGGCGTGAAGGCAGTCGTACGCCTTGCGCAGAGTCGACTGCTTCAACTCTGATTCTTTCAAATCGGACTCTACGTTCTCCATTGTCTCCGCAGCATAAACCCTAAGCGAAAACGACGTCGCGGTGGTGGGGAATCGTCTGCTCAAAACCCTAGACACGGAGGATGAAAACGAACGAAAAGAATGCGGTTGTGGTTTGTTTCTCTTGTTAAAGCAACTTCACGTATTGGTTTAAGTAGAAAGGGCAGAGAAGGGAGGGGAGTCCTATTTCCGTAGGGAAAGAGGAGTAGGAGAAAACAAAGGAAACTGGTGTTCCAAGAGCATCTAGGGAAAATAATCCCTTACAAAAAAGGTAACTTATGCCCAATAAAGGTATTTGGGTCAACCACTAAACTACACAATGAGTCTGTTATAATAATATGATGTCGAAATCACTATCTACAAAGTTAAACTTAAAACTTTCACTTACAAATAAAGAAGAATAATAATTGGCATCTACAACCTTTTTTTTTTTAAAATAAAAAAATTGTTATATGACAAGCACAATGTCTTGGCCAATTAGCCTAAGCATCTATACTGAAAAATCAAATATGTGGATCTATTTATCAATGCTATAATCTTGTTTTGGACAAATCAACCTTGCATCCATACATAATAACACGTGACATGGAACGTTATCCAGCATTGCATTGATACACTCAATAATTTCTCAATCGAAGTCAACCCCGAAAGAGAGAAGACTGTGGTGGCACTAAGTAATTTCTCAAATCGTTTGAACATGATGTGGTAATTCACTTATGTACTAATAATTAAAGTGTATCTACTTATCAGTATTGTAATCTAGTAGAGGACAAATCAACCTTGTGTCCACACACACTAACACGTGATGCGACATTGCACTGATACACACAAATTTCTCAATCGAAGTCCAACCCGAAAGAGAAAAGATTGTGGTGGCATTAAGTAATTTTTGGTGTAATCGTCAAAGCATGACGTGATATTCACGTATATACTGATATATTTATCAATACTATAATCTAGTTAAAGACAAATCACGTATTCTAGACTACTTTGCCTTATGGAAACAGGATCGAAGCTAACACAGCTCTCTGATTAATTAGCCTAACCTACATATGGATTTCTAATTGCGTTGAATATCACTTCTCACCGATTTAAGTGCGATCGGGCTTCAGTTTTCTTTGCTGAATTTTGATGATGAGCATGCTTTCAATCTTGGTTTTGTTGAGTTTACTAATTTCAAGAATAAAATCACTTTAAAATTGTATAAAAGGATTGAAGGCTTATCAAATGCTTTCTGGATTCGAATATAATCATGTTCACAATTTTGTGTGTTTCAATGTCTAACTTGAGGTATATTTCAATGTCTAACTTGAGGTATATTCATTGCTCAGACAAAATTTGAACTTCGACGATAACATACAGGATGCTAACTCTGTTGTGCGGAAGTGTTAAATATGAAACCAATAAGCTACAACTGAAAAATATGATAAGACGAATAATCCAAAATGACACAAGGATTTATACTGGTTCGGCGTAAGCCTACGTCCAGTTCAGAGACGGCGATGAAATTCCACTAATATCAAAATGGAAATTACAAATAGAGTTGAACTCTCAAACCCAATAACTCATATACACCCAATAGCTCTCACTCATACAAAGAACAAATGGAGAAGAAGAAACACATATCAAATTCTTCTCTCCCAAAAGCCACAAAATGTAGCACAATATCTTAGAATGAATGATGGCACAAATGGAAGATAGAAAACAACAACACACCTCTTCTTCTCTCTAATCTGCCGTTCCCAACCCCCAAAACCAAAGACATAACCAAATGCCTTAATATAAACAAAAGGAACAAACATCATAATTACCACTCATGTGGCCACATCATAAAGGAAAACCTCCTAATAATGTTCCCACATCATTATGTCCTTCATTCTTTTGGTTTGTTTAATAGCCGAAAGGTGATTTGGCTTGTTGTCCACTTGGCCACTAATTTAGTCATTATCCAACAAACTCCACTACTACAACATGATATATCCCGGTTGTACGTAAGAATCTCACCTGAACTTGCACCGAAACCATGTCAATGGGTAATGTATTCCAGGATTCGGTATGGCACAGTAAGATCCACCAAAACTGTCACCAAAATCACAGCTGTGGCAGCTGTACCAAAGTGCCCGCAGTTTCCATAATTTTCGTATTGCCAGGATGATGGGTTTGGCCACGGATAGACTGGGGTGAAATTTGGCGCTGGAAAAGGTGTAGCAGCTGATTCGGATGTCCGAGGGTACTTGCTTTCATGCTGTTGTTGCTGTTGATACCAGCTGGGGTCAAAGTGGCAGTACTACGCTTCCCACCTCTACCATCCCAGTTGATGCTGGATTGATTTACTTTGTTCCAATTCTTTTCTGTTTCATTAATGCAAGCTCTTTCGCCCGGTGATCAAGTTGCCTATATATCGATGCCAGGATTTGGGTCCGTTATTGAGTGTTTTTTTATTGAATCAATTTCTTTCTGCTTCAATGCAAGCTCTTTGGCCTGATCTTCAAGTTGCCTCTCTTTTTTGTTCACGTATTGGGTACGTTCTATATGTAAATCTCAAAAGTCGTTGAATTTTTTTGTTTTTTCGGTTAAAATTTTGGATAAAAGGAGTTTAGGGCTTAACATCTCCACCATAGCTCGAAAATCAGTGTATCAGATGAGATGCCAAATTTTTTGAAGAAAAACTTGACCTCTCGCACCGGGTTCATGAGCACTCGTGTCAGGTTCGGTTTTAGTTAACCAAACTGTGCAGAGTTTCTTCGTCATCGACAACTGTACACACCTTTAAGTTCATTTGGTCGACCCCTACAGAACACTACGAGTGATATTTGGTTGTAAACTACCAAACCCTTTCGATTACATGTTGATATATCCTCAGTCACATGAAAGAACCTCTCCTAAATCCACGTTATTATTTTTTCTACATCAAGGTTGAAAATACCTTTCAAACTATTCAAACTATGTCAAGAGCATTTACAACAAAGTCAGATCAAACTAGGATAGCGTACAGCAGGAGGAGGAGGAGGAGGGCCGGGAAAGTATGGATGCGGCCGGTAATGTATTCCCAGATATGGACGAAAATTAGCCTTACCAAACTGCCCAAGGTGTCCATTTTCGTAATGCCAAGACGGTGGCGGCGGACCTGACTGTGGATAGCCTACTGGAGTGTAGTTTGGGACTTGATAATGTGTCACAGATGATTTAGATGGCGGATGATAGACTGGGTTGTAAGGTGGCACTGTATAGGGTGGAACAACTGATTCGGATGTCCGAGGATACTTATTTTCCCGCAGTTGTTGCAGCTGAAACCCCGGATCATAAGTGGCGATACTGCGTTTCTGACCTCTACCATCCCAATCGGCGCTGGATTCATTAGTTGCGGGAGTATAAACAGCTGCATTTTTGTCAAGGACATGTTCCAATGCTTTCTGCTTCACGGCAAGCTCTTTCCCTTGGTGATCGAGTTCCCTCTCTTTTGAATTCAAGGTTTGGGTGCAATCTTCACTCACCTTTTTTATCGAATCCTATCCTTTCTGCTTCAGTGCAAGCTCTTTTGCCCGGTGATCAAGTTGCCTCTCTATCGATGCCAGGATTTGGGTCTGTTCTTCAGTGCGTTCCTTTGATTGAATCAATTTCTTTCAATCGACCCCAGAATTTCATTCAATTCCCTCTTCTTCTCCCTCACAAAATTTTCTACTTCCACCAATCTCTTCTCTTTAACATCAACCTCGTCGCTGTGTTCCTTGAGCAACGATTCAAGTGACCGCAAGCGGTTCCTACTCTACATTCTCTTGTACTTTCTCTCCAATCAATTCCTCAAGCACGCTTAATTCGTTGAATTTCGACTCCATATGCGAACTGAGCATTGACTCTTTAATTTCCAACTGCTCGTTATGGACTCTGACTTCCTCCTCGCGGTTCTTGACCTCCCAGAATCTGGCCTCGATGGACTGGCGGGTGGACTCTAAGTGGTCCTCGAGTTCCTTCCACTGTACTGAAAACACGGCGATGGAGGTTGCTTGGGCGTGAAGGCAACCGTACGCCTTGCTCAAACGACACTGTTTCATCTCTGATTCTTTCAAAGCACACTCTATCTTGTCCTCCATCGTCTCTGCTGCATAAACACTAAGCAAAAACGACGTCGTGCCGGCGAGGGATTACGTCTGCTAAAAACCCTAGAGACAAGAGGGTGAGAAGAGAAAGTAATGTGGCTGTGCTTTATGGTTAAAGCAAGTTCACGTACTTGATTGAATAGAGACTATTTCCTAAAGGGAAGAGAATTAGGAGAAAACAAAAGAAAGTGGTGTTCCCAGAGCATCTAGGAAAAATAAGGGAAACAAGATTAAACGGATTATGAGGTCAAAAGGTCAAAAAAACAAAAAAAAAGGCCAGCAAAAGAAATAAAAAAAGGAATGTAATTTCTGTTTTAAAGGAATCAATACTTAGGTAAGTTGAAGAAGATAACTAGAAAGGAAAATCGAAATGTCAGGCATCTTGACCAAATTTAACTTTTTTAAAAGGACATTGGCACCAAGATGGTCCTACGTCACCCGAGAGGGAAAATATGCATGCGAAGGTCTTTCAAAGATTCTTCAAATGTTTGGTTTAGGACTTTTTTTTTCAAATGGTTTAGGTCACCTTTGTGTCCACCAAGTGTTTGAAGTAATCCATGCCAGATATATCTCGGTAGCACTCAGCATGTTGCGTCGAGAGCACTCGACAAATGCTCTCGATAGCACTTATCAGATTGCTTCGACATATGTCGATAACTGTTGACATGTATGCAACATAGTTCGATTGACGACAATAAGCCCAACAA